TAACAGCTGCACAGAGCGCCACCCCCGTGGGGCTGGGCTCCCAAGTGCTGAGGCCGGCAGCTCCCGGCCGCTGTGGCCCACAACCAGAAGGAGCCCTCATGCACCACATCGTGGCCGGTTCGTAATTGTGGTGATGACAACAGATTAAATCACTGGCTCTCAGCGCTGAGGACTGGGGTTTGTCAGGGTCACTCACTGTTCCCTTGCTTCTCCCAATTTTCCATAGCGAGCGAGCAAGTTTGGAGGGCACTGCTACAGTACAAATATTTGTTGGGAGTTCTCCAAGTTTTACTCTGTCTAGAAGTTAGTTCTTTTAGTAGCCCATACAGAAGGTCTTCTTTTCTTCCAGCATCCCCTTCAACATGATTCTGAAATGTTGTAACCCCTTAATCTATGCACATACTTACACCCTGCTTTAAAAAAAAAAAAAAGTATTTAAGGTACCTAGCAGGTATGCATATAATGCAGTTAATTTTTTAAAATTAGGATATAAGGGAAAAGGAAAAATAAGTGGGATAATTAGTCACAGCCAGGATAAAGGTGAGTGCGCAGAGTTCAAACGACAAATAAGATCCTTTTGAGGCAAGTCACAATAGTTTACTGAGTTCCTAGAAGCCAAAGCAAAGAGGGAAGCTTAAAAGATACAAACAAACCATTAACTCAGGAGGGTAGGAGTAGGTCCTTGGCCTTTACAAACTTCCCCCCAGAAGCCCTCATCAAAGGGGCCCCGAGTGAGTGGTTGGAACAAAACCCTTATCAGCCTCTCTGCAGTGGACAGCATAGCCATTCTGTTGACTTCTTGCCATGATCCTTGAGGTAGGGTTGGTGGCAAGACTCCATCTGGGGTAAGGACTCCACTGGAGGCCTGTGCAGGGTCCAGTTCATCACTTCCCAAAGGGTAGTCTCCTGAGGAACCTGTTGCATCTGGGAGATCCTCTGCCACGAGAAAGAAAAAAAAAAAAAAAAGCCCTGATCAAATAGATATGTCAAGAATTGCAAAGCAGCAGCTCATTGAAGGCTCTTAGATGTCCCTTATGGCCCAGCATTTCCCAAACTGATTTAATCATCAGACCTTTAAAACAAAAAACAAAAACCAAAAACTTGGTGCACTGGGGGTCATTGATCTAAAACAGGGGTCAGCAAACTTTCTGTTAAGGGCCAGTCAGGTAATATTAAGTAGACAGTCTGTGTCATGACTACTCAGCTCTGCCATTGTAGCCAAAAAGCATGGCTATGTTCATTTATGGACACTGAGACTTGAATTTCATATAATTTTCCCATGTCATGAAATAATATCCTTCTTTTGGTTTTTTCCCAACCATTTAGAAATGTAAAAACCATTCTTATCCCACAGGTCATTCAAAAACAGGTGGCAGGCCCTTTTTGGTCAGTAGCTAGAGTTTGCTGTCCCATGATCAAGGATAATGTTTGGATGGTAGATCTTTCCAGCAAGCCTTCATGATTACTGTTCCTCAGAGTTGTTTTAATTTAGACTTTTATGTTTCTGGTTTCAGAGCAAATTAAAAAAAGAAAAGTAGTAGAGATTTGGGTTGAGTGTTCAGGCTAGTCTAAGATTTTTCTCAGAAACAGTGGGTCCTCTTAAAGAAATTTACAACTTAAAACTGAAGCCCTGAAGTTTTAGTCTGTCACGTATGCCTGCACTAATTGGACACTGTAATGCTTTAGTGGGCGTCATTCATTCATTGAAATGAAAGTCAAAGCACCCAGAGACATTTAATGTTAAGAAAACATAACTTCCTTTTCAGTAATCTAAGTACACCAGTCAACCGTGGCCCCTACCAAGCTAACAGTGTTCTTTTTGATTTTTGACTAAAGGGACATTCTTTCAGCTTCTTATGATGTCACTAAGAAAGGAGGATCAAAACATTTCCCCCCCTCCAAGTCTGACATTTTATTTTCAGTTCAACAAGTATTTATTGAGCACTCAGTGAATATATAAAGCATTTTGCCAGCTTTTATGGAGGCTACAAAAAGAAACAAGCAGTCAGTTCCTTCCTTTCCTTGTGAATCAAGTTCAAGATCCTCACCAATTCAGAGCCCATTACATTGGTGTCAGGATTAATTTCACTTCCCCGTCTCTTACTGTCAGCATGGGTGCATTCATTCAGCGAACACTTGGGAGTTGCAGCCTCTGTTCATATCACTGCAACACAGCCTTCAGGGAGCTTACTTCCCAGGGAACATCTGGTGTTTCTCTTTTCATCTGGCACTGTGCCATATTTACATCTTCTTTTAGATGGTAGAACAGAAATTATTTCTTTATATCCCGAGACCTCCACATTTATGTTCCCCCCACTGTCAGCACCTCTTCTTCAATTGTTTAGTGAGAAGATTGGATGGCCCGAGAAGCCACTCTTCCTAGGACTGCACTCTAAATGCTCTTGTGTCCTCCACCTGAGTTGCACCCAACTTTCCTCGCCCTCTTCTCTTCGTACACCAGTGAGTGTATAGTTTTATGTGACTCATCATTTTAAAGCTATTGACTGTGTTCTGCAGTACGGGTCTACAAAGTTGCTAAACGTCTTTATAAGCAATATTATGTATGTGATGGACAATTATTTTTTGTTTGGGGGAGATTATCTGCAGTGCTAATTTTTTTCCACTTATGAAAGTAATAGTTAGGGCGCCTGGGTGGCTCAGATGGTTGGGCGTCTGCCTTCGGCTCGGGTCATGATCCCGGGGTCCTGGGGTCGAGTCCCGCATCGGGCTCCCAGCTCCTTGGGAGCCTGCTTCTCCCTCTGCCCCTCTCTCTCTCTCTCTGTCTCTCATGAATAAATAAATAAAAAGTTTAAAAAAAAAAAAAGAAAGTAATAGTTATAGTGAAAATTTTGAATAATATGGAAAAGCATAGAGGGAAATTTTAGTAATTGTGGCACCTATTCATCAACTCTGTTAACAATGAATGCATCTCTTTTACTTTCCTGGATTCAAAAATCATATTTGAAATTGTTTATTTTTAGCAGCACCTGGGTGGCTCAGTTGGTTAAGTGTCCAACTCCCGGTTTTGGCTCAGGTCACGATCTTGGGGTTATGAGATCGAGCCCCATGTCGGGCTCCATACTCAGTGTAGAGTCGGCTTGGGATTCTCTCCCTTTCCCCTTCCCTCTCCCTCCGCCTGTACCCCTCTGCCTCTCTGCCCCTCTCCCTGCTTGCACATTCTCTCTCTCTCTCTCAAACAAAATCTTTTTTAAAATTTTAATTTTTAAATTAATGAACAGTGAAGCTGACCTTGTACAGTTATATGAATTTTAAGACATGTATAGATTCATGTAACCACCATGATAGTCAAGATACAAGAAAGCTCTGTTCTCCCACGACAGGCACCCTCAGCCCCTGGCAACCACTGATCTGCTGTCATAGAATTTTGTCTTTTTGAGACGGTCATAGAAATGGAATTATACATTATATAAGCTCATGAGAATGGTGTTTTTAACTTAGCATAGAAACTTTGAGATTTCAAGTTGTTAACATGTAGGAGCAATTAGTTCCTTTTGGTTGCTAATTAGTATTCCCTTGTATAGATATACCACAGTTTGGTTATCTGTATATTCTTTTACCATTTAAGAGTCTGTCTGTCTCTCTTTTTAACATTTTGACATTTCTCAAATCCTGAAATACATTAAAATCAATGTATATATTTACTGTGATAGGGGTTTTTGTTTCCCTAAAAAGCTATTGTTGAATTGATGGGGCATCTTAGAATGGGTACTGTCCTAGGATCGAGCTATTGCAGGGGTGAGCTGATTGCCGTGAGGGGTCAGAGTGGGCTGCTGAGGGTTATTAGGAGTAAGGGGACAGAGGAGGGAAGGCCCCAAGAGCTTTGCAAGCCAGCACCAGACCCAGCTTGCCAGCCTCTGAGGGCTTTGGGGACACTTTAAGCAGAGGAGCGACCCAAGGAAAGAAGTTTGTACAAACCAAACCAGTCTAATCGTGGTGGGTACCAGGATTCTTCCCACCGTGAGTGCTGATGCATCCGGAGAAGACCGGGGCATGGCAGTGGTGGTACTGCTGGTACTGAGGACATGGAGGGAGAACTTGGGAAGAGTCCAGAGGCAGCAGAGGGCACCAGCTAGAGAGCCTGTGTGGGGGAGGGCAGGTGCCTCCTGCCAAGCACCCCAAGCCCCAGGCCAGTGCCTGGGGAGGGAAGGCAGGGGGTGTGAAGAACTGTGGACAGACTGCCCAAACCGCAGGTATTTATGTGGCTGGATTGGTGGCTGGGTAGGGCATGTTATTTGGGAAGCTCTAAAGCAAAACGAGAATGTCTCCGCACTTGAGATATGTGTAGGGGTAGCATGTGAAGATAAGGGGAGAGAGGACATACTGATTCTGTGAACTTGGGTGAAATATACAATTATTCCATGGAAACAACCTGATTAGGTACATTTCCAAGTATAGTTGTATTATGGCTAACTGTATGGCCCAAAGTTTTTTTTGGTAAAACTTATTCTTGGGTCCTCTCCCCTTTGTCCCAACAAGTCAGATGACTTCTTTGGCAAACCCCCACTTTGGCGAGATAGGAGAAGGAGCAGTAAGTCATCCTCACATACATCCTTGAAGGACAGGTTCCCATTAGCCACTGAGGAAGAGGGAGGCAAAAGCAAGAGCTGACCTTCGGAGAGTAATTTACCAAAGGCACTTGCTCCTCATGTCAGAAAACTTTCTGAGAAGCCTCGCCCATGGAAGCCACCTCACTCTACCCACTCACACTTCTTGCTCAGGCTCAAGGAGAAGTAGGTGCCAGTTCACAGAAAGAGGAAGACCCTCAGAGATACTACGGAGTCTTGGTAGCTTCCCACATTTGTCTCTCCCATCTCACTGTTGACTAAAGATCCCCTTCTCAGAGAGCTATGACAGAAGTCACTCTTCCCTTTCCTACCATTTGCACATTTGCAAAGTAACCGTTCTTTAAAACTCTAGTACAGTGGGGTAAAGGCTCTGGTATTTGTGGCATTGCTAATCATATCTTCAATCTTTCCTAGGAAAGACTGTATCTTCACCATTGACCCATCAACTGCCCGCGACCTCGATGATGCCCTCTCCTGCAAGCCACTTGCTGATGGTAGGATGGAAATTTCTATACTTTTCTGGGTAGCAGGCCGTCTGCGTGCCTTTCTGGTCAGCCTGGCTGCCGTGTATTCCCCAGGCGATATAATGTGCAGGGCTGGGTTTGCTTTGTTCCTGAGACTTCACATTATGGGACTTAAAGATTGTGTTCCTGTGGTGACTTGGACGAGGGTGAGAATAAGAAAGGTCCTCTCCCCGGGACGTTTCCGGCCCTCCGCGGATGCAGCAGGGAGGGCAGAAGGACTACTTCCTTGGCTCCTTAGGAAGTTGCAGTTTGGGTGCAGTGTGTTCAAGAAGAAAGCCCTTAAGCTCTGCTTAGGAGAAGCATTGGGTTCTTTACCTGCAGTTACCAACAGATTGGGATGATTTGGAGGTACTCTCCAAAGGCATACTCAGCAGTGGGTAGTAGGAGCACCTTCCCTCCCAAATGCCCTCCAGACCTGCACTGGATAAGCCTGCCCTACTCCCAGCAGGTCTTCATCTGTCCGGCAGATTACAAAAGGCAGCTGGTAGGGGCTCTTTAGACATTCTTTTGGGATGGAACTAAGCAGGAAAGAGTATGGGATTTGAAAACTACAGTGGGGTGAGGGGGAAGGAAAGTGTGTGGGGTGTGAGAAGTGCAAACCCTATCAATCCCCGTTCTAATGCCCCTCCCATGTGCTGCTTCTAGTCTAGCTACTTCTTGTCCCTCTCTAGGATGGCGTCTAGGTGACTGTCTTGGCTTTAGTCATTCTTGGATACGGCTTCAGCACTGTCATGGGCTTTGATGGCTTGCTGATGATGGGTATCCACCCCTGAGGTTTCAGTCTGCGGCAAAGTCTTTTAAAATATTGCAGAGGTGTCTATTGACGTAAAACTCCACATAGGTTCCGCGTGTGATCTCTTCTCTACTGTAGTAGGCAGTGAAGATTAGTAGATAGGAGGCTGAGAGACAGAAAACATCCTTGCCTAAAAATGCTTTTACCTTCTTTTAGTGGGAGTCCTCCTTGAAACTGTAGGCAAGGTTGCTCAGTAATCTCAACTAAAAAAAATTGAAAGAAGCATAAAACACAAAGAGAGAAAAGTTCCCCTAGAAATTTTGGAGCAATTACAGATTTTTAAAATCCAGAATGTGAGCAGCCTACTTAAAAAAGCAAATACTGGGCTGGGTTCTCATCTTCTGAGCAACATTTGCTAAGTGCAAAGGTTTGAGCATGTCGCTCTATGTGAGCTCCAGCATGAAAAGTGCTCCCAGGCAGGAAGCCTGGTAACAATGAACCTCACTGCCTGTATTTCCCTTCTCTCCGGGTTCACACCCCTGCTCTGTTTGGAGTCTAATGCTTGAAAAAAGTTGTTTCATTTATCTTGTCCACTTTTATAGCTGTCAGTGGCAGAAAGCAAGGTCTAGCAGCTGTTACCGCATCTCGGCTGGCCTGGATGGTATTCTTGCGGGACCCCAGAGAGCAGGCCTCTGTCCTGCCCCACTCGCTCTATACTATACACTGCGTCTCCTGTCTAGGGTAGCAGAGTACCAGCAGAGGGTTCTGGTAGGGAAGTGGTAAAAGATAGGGCAGGAAAAGTAGATTGGGCACAAATGGTACACGCTTATAAATTACCAACCAAAGGATGTTCTGTGTCAGACAATTGAAAACCAGTGGTTTCCATCTCTTGTTCAAGCAGAGCAGTAAAAGTAAGGAAAATAATTTAGCAGTACAAGATGAAGGAGAAGGAGGCAAAAGTAGAGGCAGAGAAGCATCGTAATTACTTATGGAAATAGGTCATAAACGGGATTGGGGGTGGTGGCGACACTAAGGAGGGCGGGGAGGGCAGATGTGACAAAGGGGTAATGACTGAAGAATCACTGGAGATGGATGTTGGGGTTGAGGGAGAGGAGTCTTTGCACTACCCAAGATGGAGCAAAAGTTTCAACCTGGATGATGCAGAGATGGAATTTACAAGTTACAAGCCAGGGCGGCGAGACCACGAGCTGGTTTGGGAGAGACCGTGTCTACATGCAGTTGACTGTCAGATGATACATATTTATCTAAGCCACCAGACATCCTTTTCAGAGGAGGTGGGGACAAATAAGCTAAATGTATGTAGTCCATAGAACTACATACACAGAGAGCCCTGGAGGAAAGTAGACAACACACCAAAATGCAAGCAGCAATTTTATTAGGATGATGGGATCATAAGTGATTTTTCTCTTTTCTCTAGTTTCCACATTTTTATAATGTGGTAATAATAGTTTTGTAATGAAAAAAAGTTTTGTAATAAAAAAAAATTATGAGGTGCCAGAAATCACAGGCTGCCCAGTAGCGCACTGCACCAGGTGATCAGATACCTTCCATCTGCTTAGTTATTCCTGCATTCCAGAGGAGTCATTAACATCTGGTCATTTGGCAGAGCAGCAGAAAAAGGACACGGAAAAGGAGTCAGGGAAGAATCCGAAAAGGCTGGAGTTGGTCAGTCAAGTGGTTTTATGGTGGCACTTCTACAGTTGGCCTTTGGGACAAGGGTTTCTGCCAAGGCTATTTATCCAGGGGGATGAAAAGCGAAAGTCCATTCCAGTTTGGATTGGGGCGAGGTTGGCTGAATTTGGGTTCCGTTAGTTACCAGTTCATGTCAATTTTTGCTTAGAGGAAAAAATGTTTAATGTTTCAAGAGGCAAATAATGTTTTCTGGGCATATTTACATCAACTATAACCATTTTTATTTAAAGAAAATATAGAGATCAGACTTTCCTTTGGACCTGTTGAAATCATCTGAATGACTGTTCTGTGCAAATAAGACACTCAGACAGATGTTAACTTTATCTAGTCCTCACTGTCCCATTCTTTGGAGTTCACATGTACCCTTGGGCCTTGTGACCAGTACCTCCTATAGGTGTGAGACTTAGACCTTATAGCCTGCAGATCAGTTCTGCAGAAAGGCAGTGACACCTGTTTTCTGGGATGTCAAGATTATGTCAGCAGGCTGAGGAGGGGGTGCCCCCTCCCCGCAAGGAATCTCAGCTCTGGAAGGGATTCTACCAGTCCTCTAGCCTGCTGATTCCCTGCCTCCCAGAGCTTAAAAATACACTTGAGTGAAACGTTCCCCTGAGTATTACCCGGCCCGCTAACTTGAACATGGAGCAATCCACTCCAGAAAATACTGAATAATGCAAGTGAACAAGAGCGGGTGTTATAAAGATAACCCAGAATCTAAAGGCGGTAAATCACACACCTCCTGTGTCTTATTGCTATAACAGATCACTTGCAGCACACCTCACAGTTGACCTCACCGCTCAAGTGTGGAGTGCCATGGTTGTCACATCACCCTCTGGTTTTCAGATTACCTCCACAGCATCCACTTATTGGATATCCAGATTGCATTTTAACTCTCTACCTTATAGGCAGCCCATTCAGCCTGAAGATTGCATGACTGTTAGGAAATCCTTCCCTGTCGTGGTCTGAAATACTGCTGTCTTGCTGTATTTCCTTCCATTGGTCCCATGCGTCCCTGTTGGGGCTTCCAGAACAAGTCTTGTCTCTCATGTGGGCATGCCCGAGGTACTGAGTAAGAGCTGTCACGCACCTCTGTGTCACCACCCCTCCGCTGAGCATCCTTTATGTTCTTCCATGTGCTGTAGCCCATTGCCACGCGTCACGGAGTCACTTCTGCCCTTATGAGGTCTGAGGTACATGGCAGCCTGTATCCAGACTTCTCTGTGGCCGTCAGGGCCTCCTTACTGGGCTGACCCAAGTCCAGAATAATAGGAACCCATTCTCTTCAATTAGACAAGGCTTACTGCTTTGCTTCAGTCTCGAGGGGAAATTGTTAGACAGGACCTTTCCTCAGCTTAGCCGATCCAGGCCCCCACCAGATCCTACAGGAAATTGATGTTCACCACCTCTCTCATGGCTAGTTTCTCTGTATCGTTCCAATGTTACTATATGTGCTGCCGAAGCGAGCACAACGGCTAGTTTCTCTAATGTTTTATTCTCTAATGAGTGCTCTGCCTTTGAATGTGGCAGCATTATCCTAGCCAGGGCTTTGAAATGAAGGATTTGGGCACTGGGGAGAAGGGGGAATGGGTAATGACTGCTAATGGGTTTGGGAGTTCTTTTTGGGGTGTTGAAAATGTTCTGGAATTCGATAGTTGATAGTTGCATAACGCTGTGAATATGCCAGAAACCACTGGGGGAAAATGAGTGAGTGAGTGAATAGGAATAAGTAAACAAACAAACCCATCCCTCCTTGAGGATTTCTGGGGACTTTACACCTTAACCACAATGCAGCAGAAGTCCGTAGGGAATGCCTGGGCTGGATACCCATAGTCACATCCGTCTTGCCTGTCTCTCTCCTTGCTGCTTTCATCTCTGAACCCTGAAATTCCCGCCCAAGGAGCACACCGCTCTATTCAGCCACCTGCTCATCCACTTCCTGTCCCCACAGAGTGGGGCCATCTGACTCAAAGAAAGTAGGAGCCATCCTACTGTCCGGCTGTAAGAAAATGCTCAGATAAACAGACATCATCCAGTCTGAGGGACCTCGGGTATGCAGGTTACCTGCTTTGCTGTAGGGGGCGCCAGTCTTCCTGTCTGATTTGCCTCTCTTGCCTTCCTGGTTGCATGGCTTTCCCTTCCCCAAGGAGGAGGGACTAGGGAGATCTGTCCCAGTAAGGGAATAGGAATGAGACAGTAGGAGCAAAGCCTGTAAGAATTTCATAGAATTCCTAAACTCTGTAACTTCCCCACGTGGCTGTATTTGTCACCTGCTAAGAGTTTCTTGTCATGACTAATGCCTTTGGAGGCGGTGCGGAAGTAGGATCTGGAAAGACTGTGCCCCTGTGTTCCGGGCTTAGACCAGAGAACCTGCCCAATAGAACGGGTGGTAGTAGTTTTCGAGAACAAACTGCTGACAGGATGTCTCTGGGTCCGCCTCTGGGAAGGAAAAGAGAGCATGGAAGTCCTAGAGCTCGTGAGTGAATGTTCGGGCAAACCCCAGCAACCAGGCCAGAACCCGCTCCTGGGT